CGCTATTCTTCTTCAACGCCTTCAACTGTTTTAAGATTTTTGAATGATTTGCGATTTGCCGGAGGAATACGTATACGGCTTCGGGAGTGCATCCGCTCCGCAATAGATTCAACAGAAGGCTAACCATTCCATCAGTGGAGGAATAATCAAACACAGAGTTTAATAAGCAATCAATTGGTTTAGTAATGGGTGTCGCTATCAATGCATGAGAGGAGGCGCCCACTAAAGGGGTGTCTCCCCAAGTGGTGCACTCATAGGTCGCCGACACTAATGTCATACCAGAAGACTTCATACGAGATCTCGATGTTTGTGGTCTGAAGTAATAGGTAGAGTTTGTCATTAATGGTCGATATGTCATCTTTGGATGCCTTCACACCACCATTGCTTGCATTCGTGGCCGACATTTGAGTGCCATTTGTCTTCGTCTCGACCATCGCTTCCAACGGAACAACCAATCAATGGGTGAATCACTTGAGTACTCACGAGTCAAACGGAGACTCTTTGTATGGAAAACAGGACAATATTGAGTGAAACGATACGTAAGTTTTCAACACAAATATAATTGCAATGAAAACATAAAATGAAGTGTTTTTTGGCGACAAACGTGTTGTCAATCGATAACCGATTTGTTTGGAAATAACAAAACAAAACACTTTTTTGTATCGATTTTCGCACGAATTTGATCACAACTGACAAATTGGTGCCAATTCTGTGCCATCAATGATGTCTCCGATCGACAATCCCTTCACAAATGACACCTCTTTTGGTGTACGAGTGATGCAGTACTGCTGTCACGACTACATGACTGCAGCGCTCAGTCAATGGCACTACAGTTGCCTTGACTGTAGAGGTAATGGTAAACAGTTGTGCAATACTTTTGTAATGATTTGTTGGATAAGAGAGAGAGAGAGAGAGAGAGAGGGAGAGAGAGATAGAGTGAGAGTCTGTGAGAGACTATGAGAGAGAGAATGATGTGATTCGACGGCTGACTGAATGACTGAATGAGTGTTGGGTTTGCAGTGAATTGTCTATCAATTGTTAATCAGTATTGAAATGAATGGTTAAAAACACAGTGACTATGAAAACACTAACCATTTATGCATTGATTTCGATACGAAATGCAATACTATTTGATTGAATAGTATTTGTTTGCAGCAAACAGTCGTTGATTACAATAATCACTGAATGATTGCAAACACTTATTAATAGCAATCGTTTCCTCGTTTTAATCCTCACATCAATTAACACAACAATTATCTGATAAACGACTCAATCGTTTGCAATGAATGAGTGAATGAATGACACATTGAGTGACACATCCATGGATTTCATCATTTCTGTGGTGTTTATGTGAATCTGTTGTCTAATATTGTGGCCAATATTGAGTGAATCAATCGATTGGCTCAAGAATACAATGGCAGAAGTGGTTCGTTACCAACAACCAGATCCTGAGATGAAGGGGTGGCTCCAGAAGTGGACTAATTATCTGAAGGGCTATCAGAAGAGATGGTTTGTGCTGTCAAATGGTCTGCTGTCGTACTACAGGTCTGTATCATATGTCTGAAGACATGTCTCAAGACATGTATGCAATGCTTATCTCATCCACTTGACCATTATTTCGATGGACAGGAATCCCATGGAAATGAGTCAGTCCTGTAGGGGAACCATAAGTCTGGTCTCAGCGGTGATCCATACGGAAGACTCGTGTAATTTCGTGATCGCAAACGGAGGCACGACTCAGACCTTCCACTTGAGGGCCACCAACGAGATTGAGCGCCAGAAGTGGGTGACGGCCCTCGAGTTGGCCAAAGTGCGGGCCATTCGTCAGTTGGACTCCGAGGAAGACGACGACTACGACATGAATAGCGATAAAAACGAATTGCAGACAGTCTTGAAGTGTTTGTCCACCAAATTGGAGACATTGCACACGTGTCACGACGTGATCATTAAGCACGGATCAGCTCTGCAGCGGTCGCTCATAGAATTGGAACAATTGGATAATCCTAACGATGCCATCAATAAGTCGAAGACAGTGAACGAAAGGGCCACTCTTTTCCGCATCACGTCTTCGGCGATGATCAACGCGAGCGCCGAATACCTGACATTAGCTCAAACACACGCCAAGAAGTGGCAGAAACTGCTTCAACACGAACACGAGTCGCGGTTACGGCTCGAAGAACTCGTCGAACAGTTGGCTAAACAGCACTCACACCTCGAACAGAAGGCCATCAAACAACAGGTCCAACAGAACTCCAACTCAACGAACGCCAACTCAACCATCAATTCAGACGACGACGAGTTCTACGACGCGGAGGAGACAAACGCCGACTTCATTGTGACGTTTCCGGGAAAAGCCCATCGAATCAGTTCCGTATCGATGGCTCAGTCGTCGGCCAAACATACGAAGCAAAGCTCGTCCTCCGCCTCAGTCGGAGGGCCCCCTTTAGGTCGCAATTCGGACGAGTCGTCCGGCAGTGAAGGCAGTGAGGGCTACGAAGAGTCGGCCGCCGGAGTCATAACACGGAAGAAGACGCGCCAGAAGTCACTTAATCTCAAAGACCTGAACGCATCCAATATTATCACAAAAGTAGTCAACGAGTCGACGGACGCCGACTCCACAAAGTCGTCCAGTACTCCGACCACTCCCTTGTCGGCCACCGATAGAGTCAGTGCTCTGACCGGCGACGCAGACGCAGGCATTGCCAGCGGAGGTGTCGGTCAGCGTTCGCGTCGGACAACAATACCCGAGCGGCCGAACCAAAGCCTCAACTTATGGTCATTCATGAAGAACTGTATCGGAAAGGAGTTGACCAAAGTTCCGATGCCCGTCAACTTCAACGAACCCCTCTCTATGCTCCAGAGGCTCACTGAAGACTACGAGTACGCGGATATCCTACACAAGGCTTCCAAAGTGAAAGACAGTTGCGAACAGTTAGCATACATCGCCGCCTTCAGTGTCACCTCCTATGCCACCACTAGTAACCGAACCGGAAAGCCATTTAATCCGCTCTTAGGCGAGACCTATGAGTGCGATCGGAGTCAAGATCTCGGATGGAAGTGCTTCTCAGAGCAGGTTTTGTATGAGTTGTCGTCTGTTTTATACAATTATTTTAATCACTTGTTTACGACTCCAACAAACAGGTCAGTCATCATCCCCCGGCTTTGGCCTCTTATTGCGAGGGCAGGGGCTGGACGTGTTGGAGGGAGTTCTCAATATCGAGCAAATTTAGGGGTAAATACCTTCAGATCACTCCACAAGACATCACTCACCTTGAGTTCGAGTCGAGTGGTAATCACTACACGTGGAAGAAAGTGACCACAACTGTACACAATATAATTGTCGGCAAACTATGGGTCGACAATCACGGAGACCTCACTATCACTAACCACACCACTGGCGACAAGTGTCACCTCAAGTTTATTCCCTACAGTTATTTCTCTAGAGATGTTCCGCGAAAGGTATGGCCAGTGAGTTGTGTTGCTTTTCATCATTCATATCGAGTTATTGGTTATTTAGGTGACTGGTGTTGTGGTGGACAGGGAGGGAACGCCCAAATGGGTACTACAGGGCACGTGGGATAACAAAGTAGAGGCGGCCAAAGTCATCAATAGTCACGGCTCAGCCAAAGGCAAACCCATACTGGAAACGGCGACTCCGAAGATACTATGGAAGCGATTATACCCGTCGTTAGTATTCATTAAACATTTGCCTCAATATATGAGTTGATTGTGAAAGCCATTGATTATAAAATAGGTGTGAATACGAGCGCATGTATAACATGACTCTACTAGCGGTGCAACTGAACGAACCGGAATCGGGTGTCGCGCCCACCGATAGTCGCGTGAGGCCTGACCAGAGGCTTATGGAGGAGGGCAAGTGGGATGAGGCGAACGCCGTGAAAGCGGCGCTCGAGGAGAAGCAGCGCACCGTTCGCCGCAATCGCGAAGAGGAGGCCGAGAGGGCGGCGGCTGAGGGCAGACCTTATATGCCTTACGAACCGATTTGGTTCAGCAAAAAGAAAGACCCGATTACTGGTAATCCGGTCCACATCTACACCGGCGAGTACTGGCGCTCCAAAGAGAGGCAGGACTGGTCTAAATGCCCTCAAATATTCAGCGCAGACTAATCGACACATTGTCTCACGAATGAATTGTTGAGAAATTATAACAACTTTTTTGTGCCTTTGCTATCATTTATGGGAAGCGAATGGACCGCTAATTATCAATGAGTTGTCTCATCGCTGCACACAAACACGACAACAAAATAACACANTATAACAACTTTTTTGTGCCTTTGCTATCATTTATGGGAAGCGAATGGACCGCTAATTATCAATGAGTTGTCTCATCGCTGCACACAAACACGACAACAAAATAACACAAAAACTTTTATTCAAATATTCATTCATTTTGTCGCCAATTTTGAGAACTAAACAGAGATTTAATTATAATTATAAACGAATTTTTGTGCAATTATTTGATTATTTGTTTAATAATAATGTAATAGTTATTGAATTATAAATAATATTTATTTCCTATTTTTTGTTGATTTATAATGAGAATACTTTTAATTGTATTAAATAATGAAAACTACATGAAAATGTGAATAAAAATTTATTTAAAATTAATCTTTGGAGGAGTCTTT